GATTCAAAAAGACCATATATAATGAACAAAATAGAGTACTAAAACAAAATAAAAGATTTTCTTTCTATAAAGTCTATTGAGTTTTATATAATTAAGATTGAGAATTTTCCGGATTATTGATAAGTTCGATTTCTAATAAGTAGAATGATTTTAATTTGAATAAAGTGCAGGTTGATTAATATTGAGCAAATAGTTAATTAAAAGTATCTAGGTCGTAATCGAACTCGATCATGTCGATTTCGGGCATCATAATTGTGACCAGGAAGCATCATTCGCCGAACAGAAGGTAATTGACCTAGGCGAAGTATGATATCACTAATAGCCCAGACACCATCGTTAACGTTAACCAAGTTTCGTTCTAATAAATATCTATATGGAATAAAGAAATAACCCTTGAGACCCTGAAATAAGAAGTAGAACATATCATCTGATGAAAACTTATATCTGTGATAGCTGTTACCCAGTCAGCTCCCCAAGAGTTTCGTACGATAAAATATTGTGTTCGATCATCGTAACCAACAATCATAACAGCATGGAAGCCCCATAAATGCAAATTAGGATCGTTTGGATCTGGCATAGACACATAACCACCATTTTGTTTTGCTTCGTCAGAGGTTTCGTCCACGTTCACTCTAATGCCAATAAGAAATGGTATTCCATTAGCTAAACATGTTTTCATTGCGGGTAAATTTCGAGGAATTTTCAATGGAACAACTGTGATTTCTTTTGCTGCTTCATACACATGAGGTGGTGGTGTCTTGTTGACATTTTGAGGTTCATATGGCCAGATAAACTCTTGACATACACCGAATTTTCGTAAGCCTAATACAGCATCTCGTTTTAATGCACCATCATCTGATACTGCCCAACTTCGACCTTGAATCATTCGACCATTATAATATATGAACATCCGAGAGACATCAATATGAAGACCAGTACGACGCAGAATAAGATATTCAATTATGCCAGCAAAAGCATTAGCAACACTAAAGGAGAAGCAAAATCATTCGTGACACGATATATCCATATATATTTCTTCAACATCGAAATAGTTAAATCTTTCAGATAGTTATACTTACCATGCGTCATAGTCCTGTTGATTTTCAACAGGTGTCATCCACCGACGAAGATCAATATGGGATGGTAAAGATTGTGTGGGGAACTGGCATAGTCGCATTAGACGATATCGACGACGCTTCATATCTCTATCGGCTACCGGTTGAAATGATCGATTTCGAAAAGTTTGTATCATGTTTTTCTCTTTCGTTGACAGTCAATGCTATCTTGAATGGGTATAAAACTGTAAACACCAGTGAAAAAAAACCAAATTCATAATATAGATGCGAAAATACTTTTCGAAGAATTTTCTCACCAATGAAGAACGAACTCGTCAGAGCATAAATGTATATATTTTGTGCAAAAACTAACAGTAAATAATAATCAAGGACATTATTTTTTCTACGATTTTTCTCCAAATTATCACACAATTGTCACACCATTTAATTTGATATGAGAAATAAATCATTTCATGTATTCAGAAATGACATATAATTTTCATTATTATTTATTAGTTTTTCTTTCTTATTTATATATACTTAGGTCTGACCAAAAGTTCTGAAAACATTAAATAGTAATATAAAGATCATGAGATATTTTTAATTTAATTTTATCAAATGTTGAGAATAGTTGCCATGATTATTTATATCAAGGTCAATCCTTTCTAACAATTTATTAAAAGCCTTTTTGATCTCTTTTTCTGAAAAAATTTTAGCTACCTTAGATGCCACATGAGCTAGTCATGTTTCATTTATTTAATTACTTAAACTACATTCGATAGAATTAATTAGCCAAAAATTATAGTATCAGGCCTGACGAATATGTTGGATATGACATTATATTGGTGCCTTCTTCTATCATAGAATTAATAACATTGGATGTGTATGAAGTCAACGATGATCGTCGAGCAATTCCGTACATTTTGAATCTAATGTCCATGTTTGTTTCCATATTTCATTAACAAAAGGCTTCGGGCTATTTCCAATATAATAATTATTATCTACAAGTGTTGCCTTTATCTACACTCAGGATTATTTGATTTACAGAGTATACTAAACAAAGTTTTGGTTAAAATCTGTCTTCATGAACAACAGTCTTTGACTATTCATCTTCAATAAGCCACTTAACATTAGATGACTTATGACTAATCTATCTAAAATAAATCGATATCACATCACTAGTAATGCCAGAATGCAACTGACATGATCGAACAAAATTCCATTAAATTTTTAAAACAAATGAAACATGTCTAGATCATGTGGTATCTAAGGTAGCTAAAATTTTTTCAGAAAAAGAGATCAAAAAGGCTTTTAATAAATTGTTAGAAAGGATTGACCTTGATATAAATAATCATGGCAATTATCCTCAGCATTTAATAAAATTAAATTAAAAATATCTCATTATCTTTATATTACTATTTAATGTTTTCAGAACTTTTGGTCAGACCTAAGCATATATAAATAAGAAAGAAAAACTAATAAATAATAATGAAAATTATATGTCATTTCTGAATACACGAAATGATTTATTTCTTATATCAAATAAAATGGTGTGACAATTGTGTGATAATTTGGAGAAAAATCGTAGAAAAAAAAATGTCCTTGATTATTACTTTCTGTTCGTTTTTGCGCAAAACATATACATTTATGCTCTGCCGAGTTCGTTCTTCATTGGTGAGAAAATTCTTCGAAAAGAAGTATTTTCGCATATATATATTATGAAGTTGGTTTTTTTTCACTGGTGT